TATATATATTCCAAATATGCTCTGAGCGCAGTGTAGAAAATTATTGATGAGAATAACATTATTTCCTATCTGTAAGTAGATTGCATATCATGTTACTTCTGTTTCATATACGAACACTTACTGTAATGAATTTTGGTTGAACCAGGACTTCTACATTCTGGTAATTAAATTCTTTCAAACTGCAAAAATGCATTAATCTCCTGAGATCAGTAAGTAGGGATCTAGTCATTATAATAAGAAAAACAAATAAAAATCAACTCATATTTGTATGTAGATGATTTCATTGTCAAAGAGGATCAATTAGTTAAACTATATTTTGGAAAGTGAATTTCAGTGATACTTTAAGATGCTTAATTCTAAACGGGAAAATGGTATTGTACACTGAATTAGTTTGCTGAATACACTTGTGCAGGATTAACTGCTTCCATGTGATGTAGTTCTAGTGTTTCACCATAACTTCAGAAATGTGCTCTGTGTTCAATATAGTCCAGTGACTTTGATTCTGTATGAATAATCAAGGAAGCATATTGGTCACTCAGAAAACAAATAGTTCAGAAGACTCACAGACTAATAAATTCTTTATATATTTTACGATCTCCTCAAAACTGTAGTTAGAGAAAAAGTGTTAAAAGTGTTCCAGTAATGGACTACGTGCAGTTCATGACCTTATTGCTGTCTACCTAAGACACTGACCCAAGAAAAACAAGTATTTACCCATTCTTAGATCATTTGGTGTCAGATACAAACTTGGGTTTGCTTTTGTATTTTTCTCTTTTTTTCTACTTATTTAACGTAGATAATATTTAAAATATATCTAAGGATCCTGTATAGCTCAGATTACATATTTTTTTTTTCAAAAGCGTAGGTCTAATCAGTAAAGCAAAAATTTATTATGTCTAGACAACAGCTTTAAAAAAAAAAAAAAAAAGAAGAGCATGTCATAGTTAAAGTAATGATACTGATCGATCTTTTGATGGGCCTGCCTAGCATGAAGTTCTTCCAGCTAATTTTGAAAATCTACTTCAGGTTTCTGAAGTCGCACTGCCTTTGAAAAGTTCCCACCATTCATTAACATAATACTAGAAAAGATCTTTTCATTCAGCCTACTCAGGAAAGTCTTATGACCCAGAATTTGTCCAGAAATTCAGCCCTCCCTGTCTTAAACTAAGATGATTCTTACTGGCTTCCTTGCTGCTGCTTAGTGCTAACCAGTCAAGAACTGACAAGACCAAGATCAACTTCAAACAACTCCTGTCTCATTTTAGGAGGAACATATTTCCCACTTGAATGTGTTTGTTTTCCTTTCTCAAGGGAAAGGCTGGGAAACGATTTCCATTCTGAAACTACATGAAAGCTTTCCTATTTTTATTGACATGGAAAGCTTTCAAGAACTATGAAAGATGGAAATTGGGTTTCCAGATGCTGCTGCTGAGAGCTTAGCTCTTGGTGTTTCTACTTTGCTTATTCTGGGCTCTCAGACAAAATTGTGCACTTTTGTTTCTAAAATGGCTTTTGGCAGTCTTTCTAGATGTAGTTTACAGACTAATTATCTGTGCTGTGCGTAGTGGGTGTAATTATAGAAATGTACTAATATATCCAAGTCAATATCCAATCAATATTCATTGTATTGACAATAATGCTTATTTATCATTTCATCACAAAATTGTAAAATGTGAATTGCAGCTTTGATAAGCATGATAAGCCTATTATAAGTAGTTACTCAGCAAGACTCTTCAGTTTATAATCATTTGTTTATTGAAAATTCTTAATACATATAAAATACTTTTTTTCTCAGTGTAACCAATGCTTGTTGTTTGTGAGTCATATTTCTTTTTGTGAGGAATATCATTTTCTCATTAAAGTGTTTTTTTTAAAATAACTTTTGTTATTATGAACACAAATTTTAGCATGGATAATTGCATATCTTAATCTTCTTACTAGAAGTTCTGTTGTCCTGCTTCCAGCTGAAACAGTGTTAATTACACCAATATTTGGGTGTTGTTGAGTCATGCGAGCACAACTGGGGCTGGGCTATTCAGAGGGACAGAGCCACAGCCATGATGGTGAAGGGTGGGGGAGTGTGATTAATTGCACTGTGACTGCATAAGTAGTTATCTCAATGTATAAGTCCTAGGTTTTTTTCCAATTTTCTTTTCATCCCACCTTGGGGGTAGCAAGTAAATGGTTGCATGGTGCTGAGCTGCTGCTGTTGGGTTACACCACAGCAACTGGTAATGACAACATGCTCCCACCCCAATAAGGATTGCAGCCTTGGTGAGTGCCCGCAGCACTTCTGTGCTTTCATAATCTAGGTGTCACCTCCTAGATCCAAACTTTAAGAAACCAACAGGATGGTCACCCAAAGGGGTGATCTGAAGTAAAATAACAGAAATGAGGATGACTCTTCTGCATCCAGCTCAGATCACCCTCTTGCTCAGGCACCACACAGTCAGACCAAGGAGATTTTGCCTCTGGGCTGCCTTCAGCTTGGAGGCTGGAAAGATTTGGGCTTCCAAACACTCAGCAAGTATTTGGATGAGACAGCTTCCTGCTGGGGAGCCCTCTGACATCACTGCTGCCTCCTCCAGAACCATACCTGCAGATGCTTCAGAGCTCATCAGCATGGACTTTGTTCCTCCCATCAGCAGCTGCTCCTGCACTGACCTTCATTCATACTGGGATACCATCTGCTTCCAGCATGAGCTGACCTGCGAGACAGAGAAAGGAAATGTGGGATTAGTACTAATGCAGAATCCCGAGGCTGTGTCACCACCATGTATTGCAGCCTTGGGAAGTCAGCTGCAACAACCTTGGTCAGAATTAAAACAGGCACCATAAATTGTGACCTCTGAAGTTATTGCTATGATCAGAAATAGATGCTGAAATCACTCACATAACTATAGGTTATCTCCAAATTCTTTTGCTTTGGGGAAAATATGGACTTGGAATTGAAGGACACAAGAAGAATGATATGTTTGACCTCAACAGACTTGAAAGGTGGGCCCAGGTGAACCTAATGAGGTTCAGCACAGCAAAGTGCAAGATTTTGCACTTGGGTTAGAGAAATTCCAGGCATTTATATAGACTAGGAGGAGCAGTCCTTGAGAGCAGCCCTGCAGAGAAGGAGCTAAGGGTCCTGATGGATGAAAAGCTTAACACAAGCAAGCCAGCAATGTGCTCTTGCAGCTCAGAAAGCTTCATCAGGAGTGGGTTGGCCAGCAGGGACAGGGAGGTGATTGTCCCCCTCTACTCTGCTTTTGTGAAGCCCCATCTGGAGTACTGTGTCCAGGTCTGGAGCCCCCAGTACAAGAAAGACAGGGAGCTGTTGGAGAGGGTCCAGAGGAGAGCCACGAAGATGATCAGGGGACTGGAGCACCTCCCCTATGAGGACAGGCTGAGGGAGCTGGGCTTGTTCAGCCTGGAGAAAAGAAGGCTGCGGGCTGACCTCATTGCAGCCTTTCAGTACCTAATGGGAGCCTATAATCAGGAAGGGAATCAACTCTTTGAAAGGGTAGATAACTGCAGGACAAGGGGAAATGGTTTTAAGTTGAAGGAAGGAAGATTTCTGTTGGATGTCAGGGGGAAGTTCTTTTCTTTACACAGAGAGTGGAGAGCTGCTGGAACAGGCTGCAGATGCCCTGTCCATCCATGGAGTTGTTCAAGGTCAGACTGGATGGGGCCCTGGGCAGCCTGGTCTGGTATTAAATGAGGAGGTTAGTGGCCCTGCATGTGGCAGGGGTGTTGGAGATGCATGATCCTTGAGGTCCCTTCCAACCCAAGCCGTTCTGTGTTTTTTTTTTTCTATGATGCTTATCTTGCTCTGCAGCTTTTGCTCTGAATAGCCTTTCTTGTATTCCCACATGACAGGTATAAAATGAAGCCACAGCCCCTGACAAGGTCAGCTCTTCAGCATAATTTCCTGAGGAGCACTTGACAACTCATGCAAACTAAGCAGTGCAAGGAAGACTGTTTCACTTCTCCTGGCTCAGAAATTAATTTTCCTACCTAGAAAATGGAAACACAAAACAAACAAACAAAAAGCCTAACATAAAGCAGACATGATTGTTACTATGGAATTCTGGAAGGCAAGGGATTTGCCCTCTATGTTAAGTTGACTGCAAAGAACTAAGAACAGCCATGACCAGGTTGAGAAATGGTGGGTAAAATGAGGAACTGCAGCAATAAAAGGCTGCTGGAGATAAGGGTCTGCTACAAGGAGAAGGGGAGAAGGAAATCAAGGATGGGAGGGAACCATCAAACACAGTCAGTGTGTGTCTGTGCCTTCTTGCAGCCCCAGAGCTTCCCAGGTTGTTTCTGCTTTTGTAGCATTTGTGTGCTGCAGTGTGAGCGAATTGTTCTGCTGTTTGATTTTTCTGCAACAGATGCCTGAAAGGTAAATGTCCACTGAGCTGCAGACCAGGCAATACTGCCTGACATTGGTCAGGGTGAGCTTCTCCTGAAAAGCATTGTGCCACAGCAAGGAAGCTTGGTATTATCGTGAGCAGCATCTAGGAAAAATCTAGGAAATCTCCCTGCAGACATCCCAAAGCCAGACAAAATGAGAACAAAAGTGGAGCTCTGCTGCATGCCCACAGCCACAGCATTGCAAGCTGAGATACCTTGCTATGTGTTGTATTCATCCCAATCTCTCTGAACGAAGACTTGGAAGGCAGTCAAGGCATTGATTGAGCACAATGTGCTTTTATTATTATATAAAAGACAGAAGGGTGTGAGAGGTCTGGAATAAAGATGGGACTCATCCTTTCTTGTCATGGAGAGAGTGGCTTGGAGCTCGTGCTGCTGTCCAGTGCCTGGGCCTGGAGGCCTGATTTTAAGTCCCCCTCCAAGAGGCTCTGCTCCTCCTCACTTATCCTGGCCTGTTCCTGCATGGAGTTGCTGCTGTCAGGGCACTCACACTGTGCTTGGGATGGGATGCACTGCAGAGACACTGGGTTACAATCCAGATTGGTCACAGTGGTGGCTGGCGAGCTCAGGTTAGCATCTTTAGCAGAGATAGGAGAAATAAGAGCATGAACTTGGATGAGCTCCTTCTCTCCATTAATGTTGTTAGATGGAAGGCTGCCAGTGGAACTGGAGCAATTTGTGCTTCTGAAGAGCTCTCCACTGATGGAAGCACACAGCACATCATCACTACTTGCTCTGGATCTTCTGGGTTGGAAAGGGTTCGATTCACCTAGAAAGGATATACAGGAGTTAGTGTCAAACTTTCACAAGCTTAATTATGACAGCGGTTCTTGATCAGGGATGAGCTGAAAATGTTAGGCAGGGGCTTGAACACTAGCTGGAGATACAAGTGCACTGCAAGCTTGAATTCTTTGTTACTGAAAAGAAGGGTTTTAAAAGCTGGATTTGCACTCTTACCTTCCAGGACCACCACTTCTGTTTCTGAGGGCTCCCTGGCAGTACACTGCAGTTGGCGTTCAGCCACAGAGGATGACTTTCTCAGGCTAAAGCAGCAACACCAACTGCTAGCTGGTGATTCCCTCATCTTGCTGGGTGGACTTTGTCTGGAGAGAGAAGACAGCAAATGCTGTGATTTGTGCATGGTGCAGGATGAGGGAAGAGCTGCACTGAGATCTTGGCAGCAGTTGCTTGTTCCTAGCACTGCCTGTTTTCTGAAGAAACACAACTTAAAAACTCGCGCTGTTTCAAACAGTTGAGGATGGCTCCATTCCTGTAGCTGAGCCCTGAAGTCTTCCTGACTAAATTCCCTTCAACTCTGTCAAGCAAGATGCAGAGCATGAGAGCAAAGGCTCCACAACTGTACAGCACAGCATTTAAGGGATGGCTTTTATTAAGCTGGTAGGTGTAATTGCTTTCTGAGGAACCGTGCAGCCATAGAGGAAGTTCAAGAGCATCTCGAACTCCTACATTAGCACCCCATCGGTATCATCTCATTGCCATGTTTAATTTCTAGTGTCAGCAAGTCTGACCAACAGCTCTGCTTAGAGGAGAACTAGAATTGGTTTCAGACACATGGCCCTGAAATCTGGAAAACCCCACCACTAGTGTAACTTACTTTCAGCAAGTTTTGGCACTAGAAATAATGGAGAAAAAAAAAAAAACACAAAACCCACCCAAACAATGATGATAGGTGCTGGAAAAGAAAGTTTCTTTACCTTTCAGATGGAAAGTCAATGACTGTGTGGAATTTGCCCTGCACAGCTGTAGGGCCTTCTTCCACTTCAATGTCCCTGTTTCTCTCTGTCACAACAGGGGAGCTGCTGTGGTCTCGCCTCTGTGCCTGTGCCTCCTCCAGGCTGAGCAGCTTTGTGGCAGCAGAAGAGAACCCCACAGGCTTGGGCCCTGAGAGAGAATTGTGCCCTGTAAGGGGAAACCACAGGTAAGAGCAAGGATCAGACAGCAGCAGCACAGCCATCACAGTTCTGGGGGAGGTGCTGTATTTTTCTCAGACTTGCTTATCCAAGCCACTGGAAGATGTCAAAATAACTATGTGGGCAGAGGTATGTTTATGGCAAAGGACATGGTCATAATGAAAAGCAGCTTACTGTATCAAAACAGGCAACAGAAATCCCTAGAAAATGGGGGCAGGGAACTGAGAAAGCTTTGCTGCCACAATTTCATCAAGCTTCTTCTGTGTGCAAAAGATCATAATGACTCTGACAGTTTGGGCTTGGACATTCTCAGTATCCAGCAACAAGATGCCATATTCTAATCTAAGCCCAGTAGTCTGCTGTCCCCTTGATGGTGAAAGTATCTCAAAGGTCCTAGAGAAGGCCTGGATTTGATCAAGGTGTCACATCAAGATAAAGCTAATGGAGGAAGACACTCACCTGCTCCATCTGCCATGTCCGATGTGGATTTGGAGCAGAAGAGGATGTCTGTGTGGTTGATGATGAATTCTACAACATCTGACTGCATCTGCAGTTCCATGCAGGTAGCTCTTCCGCTGGCACAGGCAGACTCTTTCTGCTGCGATCTGTGGGAAAAAAAAAGGCAGATTTTAAAAGTCATTTCTCCAAGATCGTTTCCCTGAGTCTGAATTGTTGCAGCCAAAAGCTGTCAACTGAGGCTCTAGAGTCTCCTGCAGTGGCCAATCAGTGATGCCACTGAAGAAATTCTCCTGGATGATCAAGGACACATCAGTCCCATCTGAAGAAGAGAGCAGAAATTGTCACCTAGACATTGTGCCCATGGGGTTGGAGAACAGTCCAGGCTCCTCCTGTCAGCCATAGATTTTACAGGAGAAGAGCACATTTGATGGACAAAAAGGGAGGACTGCTTATCTTAACTCGAGAACAGATAGAAGCATTGTGTTGAAACAGAACCAGAAGTTTACCTTAAGAGGTTTGGAGCCCACACAATGGCTAAGTTCTTTGCATGCATGTTTGTGATGGAGGAGCTCCCAGCTAGACATGCCAAGTGTCTCATGAGGTACTCCAATGTCCTGGATAACAAGAGAGGCAAGTGTTCAGCACCAACGAACATGCCATGCTGCAATTCAGAAAGCAGACCTCAATTCATACTAATCCTTGTTATTACTACTGCCACTGAAGATGAAGTAGATCCAACCTGTCTAAGTGCCATGCTGCAGCACCAAGCTACAGCACAGCTGCAGCCACCAGCTGCACCACATGTGCCCCTGTGCCCAGGAACTAACCCAATACATTAAGCCCATGGAGCCTTCAACCCTTCAGCATACACAGGCGTCGTGTTGCTAGCGTGAGACAAAGCCTGGAATCAAATCATTGCCCTCTGCAATGCAGCAGGGCTCAGCTCAACAGGCTGAGGGCAGTACTGACCTGTAGTGAGGAGCGGGCAGCTGCTGGATGACGTTCTGCATTCTGACCAGCTTCTCCTCCTCTGTAGCAGCACCAACAGCATCCTGGAATAGTGCAGAGAGGGATTGAGTCACAAATCAGGCTAGTAAACCTCATGGGGCTAACAGAAAAAGGGCATCAGAGCTGGGGCACTGCTGCAGCCATCTCCCAAGAGGCCCAGGGAAGAGGGAAGTAAAAGATGTTGCCTTGGGCTTACCGAGAACTTGCCATACAGCTGGTGGGTGAGCAGAGGGTTTGGGAGCTCCCTGAAATACATTTTGCAGAGAGAGCTCACGCTGTGAATGTCACGGACAGTTAGCTCAGGAATCTGCTCAGACTCAAATTCATGCCTGGAGAGAAGGATGCAAAAACAGTTGAGAAAGAGGAATGCAAGTAAAAAAGCCACACCAAATGCAATCAAGCTGTGTCAGTCGCAGCACTCTTACCGGAGTCTCTGGATGTTGGATGCAACACCGGACAAGCGGTATATCCCCTGCACCACTCCATGCTGCTCAATGAACTCAGCACAGCTCTGGAGGACCTGGGGGACTAAAGAACACGTGGCAGCCATTAGTTGAGCTTCTTATTCAAGTCCTGGTTCAGGCTCCCATCACATCCCATCCACTAAGCCCAGCCAGGTGTGGTTGAAGCAAATAAAAATGTGCTTGTCTCTTAGGAGTGTTTGCCTCACTTTATTCTTCAGCCATCAACTCCCATTGCATGTTTCTCCATTGGTATCAGCCTGCCCCCTGCTAGATATGATCTTCCTTTCCTCTTTAGATGCCTATAAGAGGAAGATCTCAGGAACAGGCTGTTTCTTACCATCACGACCAGAGTGGAGAAGATGCGCTCCCAAGTCACAGCCAAACACGCTTTCCTTCTCCATCTCCCGCTCTGTTGGTTTTTTTGGGCGGGCCTTCATGAAGGAACGAAGGAAGGTGATGAGCTTGCTGCGTTTCTTTGGCACTACACAACAAAATGAAGAAACCAGGTCATTTCAGGTTTGGCTCAGTTAGACAAGGCCAAGCACAACACATTCTACAGAGCACGTCAAAATGGGAAGAACGTTACCAACAAGTACAAACAAAACTGGATTTTCTCCATCTCTGGTGAAGCCCAAGGCTAGGTTGATAGGGCTCTGGGCAGCCTGTTCTAGTCTCACATTAAACGTGGAGGCTGGCAGCCCATCCTGAGGCAGGAGGGTTGGAGCATGATGATCCTTGAGGTCCCTTCCATCCCAAGCCATTCTATGAGTATTCTATAGTTTTGCCAAGTCCAATCATAAACACAGGAGGATTAGGCCAAATCTCTGCATGTTCTTATGGAACTTAATGCACTCCACTTGCTTAGCTTGCTCAACTTGGGGATTAACGATCCTCTTGAAAAGCCACGTTCTGATCAAGTGTTTCACTTGCACAACCAAACCTCTATCTGTCCACCAGGGACATTGCCTGTTCTCAGCCCTGCACTGACTAGCCGGAGAACTGCCTTTGCCCTCCCTCATTCTCACTGCCTGCAAAACACCCACCATATGCCCTGTGGTATGCATGAAGGATCATCAACACAGATGATAATGTGGGATAGATAAAGGAGGTATTCCACATGGAACACAACCCAAAAAAGACTCCATTTTGCTTCCCTGCACCATCACATGTAACATCCGTACCTGGCTTTGGTACAGAGTTGATGAGAGCCTCAGGAATGTTGCTATTAATGAGTTCCACGCACTCCCCAGGGAAAAATCCAACCTGTAACAAGAACAAAAAGAGAGGCCAACTATTGCATGCTGCATTTCTCAGGTCTGAAATGTTAAACCAAAAGCCACATAACATGTTCTTCGGAACACATTTGTCTGATGCTCTGTAAGACTATCCAGTACAAAATGGCCTGCATAAGGGTAATAACTTTTCAATGTTTGCAGCCAAAGGCAAGGTCCTCTGACATAGGGAAACTGTTTACATCCATTAGGCATCCTGTGCAGGCAGAGCAGGTCTAAGCTGAGATTCCTGCTTTTACTGAAGTTGCACTCTCAAGTCTGAAGCTTGTGCCTACCTGAAAGCCACGCTTGCCTCTCCACCAGGGGCTCAGCTCCTTTGGTGGCATATCAATAATGCACACAATGTCTCCCACCTGCAAGAGATTGCAACATCAATCCCAGCTTCAGCACAGCTGGGAGGAAAGCACAGCTCAAATGACTGCATTCTTCTGCACTGCCAAATATCACCGAGCTTGAGAGCAATTGCACCAGTGCAGCTCTGAAGGCATTTGCCGTTGTACAACTGAACTTGGAGGTGGAAGAGTCACTACATTACACAACAGACAGAATACAGCTGTTCAGTAGAAAATTGTTCTCAGCAGCAGGGTATGGAAGAGTTCCAATTAAACTGCACACATAAGTTGGCAGGGCTTCCTGAACAGATCTACACACTCCATACACTGGTCCGCTGTTGCTCAGGGACCAGGCTTCAATAGTGGGCAGTATCTGTTTGATACGAAGATTCAGAAGCTAAAAAAAGCCATATTTTAGAGTTGGCCGAACTCCTCCCTGCATCCAACCCAATCTGGAACTGTATCTTCTAAGCTTCGCTTCACAAAACATTCTGAAGGTGTTTGAGAATATTCCTAATGCGTTCACACCTTATACTCTTCTGTACATGACAACAAGGAAGTCTTTAACTACTTACCTCAAAGGAGAGTTCATCCTCTGCCTGGGCAATGTATCTCTTAATGACATGGGCAGCAGCAATAGCTGGAATATTAACAGACGATTTGTCATGGACCAGCAGGGGCATCCCCTTGTTCTCATTCTGAAACAGAGAGCACAGGCCACAGTAAGGAGCTGAGAACAAACAAGGAAGATTTCAAGGTGAGCAGCACATCTGCAGAGAAAACCCACAGGAAATGCACTCAGTCCTTATCATGGGTACTTCAGAAGGAATTGCAAGTCTAATAACAATTGTTTCTCTTCCTGGTGTGCAGCAGGCACACACCAGGCAATGCAAAGATGCATTTCTCCCTACCCAGACTAATCAGCAATGGCACTGACGCAGACAGGTGGCCTTGTCCATTTTGCCCCATGCTTTCCTGTGCTCTTTATCCAGGAAGGTTGATTGGTTAAGATGCTAGGTGACCATTAAGAGGGAAACCAAAGCTACAGCTGCAGTTCACTAGGTGCAAACAGTGCCATTGCAAGCACAAAGCAGGTTCACTTGAGCAGTTCAACCAACAGTGAGGCCAAATAGGAACAGACAATGTTTGTTGTTTCTGCAGCTATTTCAAGGGAAAAAAAAAAAAAAAAATCAGTAGAGGACAAACACCACAACTGAGATGGTTCCAGTAGTTTTATAAACTTGCCACACTTGCACTACTGTCTTGCCAAAGAGAAGCTCTATTGAAAAGCAGGAGAGCACATCTGCGTCTCACTCTGCTGGCTCCAGTCAGGGAACAAAGACCAGTCAGAGCTTCATACTCTACCTCTGTCCATGCCAGGTCAGGCCCACAGCTGATCTCGCTGCACGCCACGGCCATCAGAGTAGGTGACAAGCTGGAACTGAAAAGAAACACACTTCTATTTTCTCTGTTCACACACTATTGAGAGACTTCTTAAGATCAACCCCCAGTTACCCAGTGGCATAGGCGGGTGTTCTAAAGACAACCACTTTGTTCAGTCACTTCAAACGTGGCAGCCTATTATGCAGCACTTTACCAAGTGGCTATCCCTCTGCCAGCAGATGGGGACTTTGGCACAAAGCAGCATATGCATCCAGTTACTGATAGCGCAGTAGCAGGGCAGTGAGAGGTGTTACTGCTGGGGGTGGATCTGCTCCCCAGCCCTCATCTCCCAGCAGCCTCACCACCAGCACCTGCCACAGCCCTGCACATGGATTTCCTCTGCTTGCATCTCTGCTGTGCTCCCTACAGTTGTCAGGCACACTCAAACAACCAAAGCACACATGCTTGTGTTCCTGGGTCATATTGTACAGCTCTGCACAAGCTGGGGCTAGGACTCTTTACCTAAGGGATTGGTTTCCTTAAGACTAGCTGGTCACAGCACCACAGACAGCACCCTTCTGAGGGCTGAGCTGGACAGGTAGTGGAAAAAACCCACATGTGACCAGCATCCCATCAAAGCTGGATGAAGAGTGTTACTAAACACGGGGTGTCACTGTTGCTAAAGCATGTGGGGGGACAAAACATGGCAGGTACCTGGCAAGAGATCAGAATGAGGTAGACAAGTCCCTCGAATCCACAGCTGTTCCTTGTCACTTTGCTCTGATCTTTCACGAGCAAAAGCTGCACCAGGGAAGCAGGCAGAGGGTGGAAAGAGGAGAGAAGAAGAGCAGGTCAGCAAGTTTCCACAATTTAGCAAAGACCAAGGAAAGGGAAAAGCCATGGGACAAATGCCGCCTTTATGAATCGCTTTGGAATGCATGCACTGGGTGAAAATTATGCCTGATGGTCAAGAGTAAGCAATATCAGAGAATTACAGAATGGCCAGGGCTGGAAGGGACCACAAGGATCATGCACCTCCAACCCCCCTGCCACATGCAGGGTCACCAACCTCCCCATTTAATACAGACCAGGCTGCCCAGGGCCCCATCAATCTGGCGTTGAACAACTCCATGGATGGACAGGGCATCCACAACCTCTCCAGGCAGCCTGTTCCAGCACCTCTCCACTCTCTCTGTAAAGAACTCCCCCCGACATCCAACGGAAATCTTCCTTCCTTCAACTTAAAACCATTTCCCTTTGTCCTGCAGTTATCTACCCTTCCAAAGAGTTGATTCCCTTCCTGATTATAGGCTCCCTTTAGGTACTGAAAGGCTGCAATGAGATCACCCCACAGCCTTCTTTTCTCCAGGCTGAACAAGACCAGATCCTTCAGCCTGTCCTCGTAGGGGAGGTGCTCCAAATCATCTTTGTGTCTCTCCTCTGGACCCTCCCCAACAGTTCCCTGTCTTTCTTGTACTGGGGGCTCCAGACCTGGACACAATACTCCAGACTGGGCCTCACAAGAGGGGACAATCACCTCCCTGTCCCTGCTGACCTCTCCTCTTCTGATGGAGATAATATGATCCTATGAGCTCCACCAGCCAGCAGTTCTCAACACCTCACTGCCCACCCATCTATCCCACACTGTCTCAGCTTACCTACAAGATGCTGCACAAGATGGTGTGAAGACAAAAGTACTCAGTCGGTGCACAAGTGCAACAAGCGAGCTACTCAGTCAGAGCTCAAGCGCTCCAATGAAGGGACACAGCACGCACTGCTCCTCCCCTCATTCTAGCCGCTTATGACATCACTAAGGGCCACCAGACTGCTCCACCATGATGGACAAGGTGGGGAGGCAAGACCACATCACAAGACCAGACTATTCCAACACCCCACCCCAACATTCTAGAATCAGTGGGTGATCGAAATTCTACCTCAGCCAAATCCTGGAGAAGCTGGCATGGGGTTGTCATGACCAAAACACAGGACCTGGCGCTTGCTCTTGTTGAGTCTCGTACAACTGGCCTCAGTCCATCCCTCTGGAGGGCCTTCCTACCCTCAGGCAGATGGACACTTCCTCCCAGCAGCGTACCTTGCAGTGCTGGGCCCATGTAAAATCCACACTACAGTCTTTTTTTTTTTTTTTTTTAAATTCAGGGGCACATTACAGCACCAATCTATTTCACCTGTACAGAAATAAAGGAGGAGATGGGAGAAACACAGAACTACTACCAGACTGCTTTATGAATTTCTTACCCCAGCTTCCCTTGCCTCATCTCCTACCCCAACTCCTGGATGATGCCCACAGGCTTATAGCTGGATCTCAAATTCATAGGACTCCTTTCACAGGACTCATCAAAAAGGATGTCACACTTGTTCCTTACACTCAAACTGACCCAGCAGTGGTATCACAGTCACTTAAAACACACAGAAGTGTCCAAACCCCAAGCATGCACATCCTCTCCAGCTTTACTAGAGCCTACAGCTCACCTTCACACCTCTGTGGTTTTCTGGTGTTTTACACTGATGCAGCCTCGCCACAGCTCCAGCTCCATGGCTATCACACAAGGCCCGCTGAACCTCTTTCTCTGCAAACCCCATCTGCAGACATTGGTTCATGAGGTTCACCACCTGCCCTCCTAAGCAAAAACAAGCACTAAGAACAAGAGCAAAGCACACTGGATTTGACCTGGCCCAATCCCCAACCCTCAGTCCTGTCAGACATACCCTGGTGTGGAGAAGCCCCAAAGCCTGGCTGGACATCAGCACATGCATCATTCTTCAAACACCCCATCCAAGCAGCAAGGGATCAAAGCACTGGGACAGCTGAAACAAAAATGCTGTGCAAGTTCCCTGAACATGAACAAATCTACTGCTGAGCAACAGGATGCGAGACAAACAGTAGAAGACAACCAACCTTTCAGAACCTGCTTGTTTGGGATCTGTCCATGGCCCACACCAAGCTTGCTGAGCTGCTCCTCCTTTGTGCAGGGGGAAATGGTGCAGATGCTATGTGGTGGCTATGCACAGCATGCCTTTGACTTGCTTTTCCTCTCCCCATCTTCCATTAGCAAACTGCATTTCAAATCTTTCCTTGCTAAAAAAAAAAAAAAAAAATCACTTAGGTAAAAAAGAACTGGCAATCTTGCTTTTTAAATTACCTTGCTTATACAGCTTGGTACTTTAAAGCAGAAACTCAGCAAGCAATGAGCTACCTTAGACAAGCTCAACCTTCAGGGAAAAGTTATTCCTCTGTGTCTTCAGACTTTGCACACATTTCCAGGTGCAATAATCAGCCCAATTCTCAGCACAGCTTTACCAACCACAGAAATCCAGTTTATGCCCGCCGTGCTTTTCTCTCTTCTGAAACACTGTAGTGATGCAAGAAGCAACAATTGAAATCACAGAACTGGGCTTGGAAGGGACCTCCAGGAATTACTGAGTCCAACCCCCTTGCAAAACAGGCTTACCCTACAGTACAGCAGGCTGCACAGGTGGGCGTCCAGGCAGGTCTGGAGCATCTCCAGAGAAGGAGAATCCACAGCCTCCCTAGGCAGCCTATTCCAGAGCTTTGTCATTCTCACCGTGAAGAAGTTCCTTCTCATATTGGTGTGGAACTTCCTGCTATGTAAACAATTCTCAAACAAACTGTCTATAGCATAAAAGTGTTTTATATCATGCTCTTCTGCATTTTGGAGGTTTTATATTGTACAGACTTGTTGCATTTTGTTATGTTTTTCCAACTCTTTCTCCTAGTTGAGACTACTGATGGTAGGAAAAAATTCCTGAGAACTCGTCTCCCATCTAATTAACATACCCACATATGCCAAAGCATTCTTCTGATGCCATTGTTGTACCAATGTGCCAGGGATGGCTCTGTTTTACCAGTGCACCTGGTATGATTCTTGTTTAACTGTTTCTGGAAAATAAAGGTAGGGAAAGTCCAAAATGATATAACTTTTCATTAAGAAAAATCCAATTCTAAATCATTCAAATGAGATCAAGACACATCACAAGCAAGCATTTTCGGGTCTATAGGAAGATGAGAACTTTTAACTCCCAAGTTCTTTACTTTAGGCAGAAATTCAGGCCAGCATTTCTTGTCAATTTCTAATACTCCTAACCCAAATCCCAGTGACATTGGACCTGACTTGTACTGTACTTAACTAACGCTTATAAAGAAGGGAAATGTGACACTTGTTAGAAGAGAGGTCACAGAAATCTCCAATCAACAAACATTGCCTTCCAAAAATGTTAGATCTTTTTTATGTATAAGAACAAAGTAAGAGTTCTTTCCTATTGGTATCTGATACCCTGAGTTTAGGATATTTTTCTAAGAAAAGGCAAAAAAAAAAAAAAAAAAAAATGATAAGGGGTACTTAAACCATAACATCTCTAATCAGATCAGACTCCTGCATTATGAATACTTCCATGAGTATTCCTGCACAGTGCATCATTTAGTCCATTTGTTCCTTAGTGTGATTTAAATAAAAAATTTAGCTGGTTGCCTTTGTTTGTTTGTTTTTTATTTCTTAAGAATTTGATGAGTGGCCTGAAAACAGTTTGCCTAAAATAACCTTCAAAAACACAGTGGCAATTTGTGGATTCAACATTCAGTAATTTCCTCAATAAGCTCTGTTTTTAACTTGATAGAGCTAACAGTAGGAATCTGACAGGTTTGATTTACAGATAGCAAGGGTAACTACAGGTCCTATTGCATCATCATGAGCTGACACAGCAGCTGCATAAAGAATAACCTAAACCAACAAGATGTTTAAAACCCAGATCCTCCTTTCTCAGCCTCAGTGAAGCACAATCCAGAGACAAAAGTTAAGGACAGCTTTCAATTTTTCAATTGAAATTTCAATACTGCATTAGAAGTTGACAACCATGAGAGTACAGTACAGAGAATTACAAGAAGATAATTAATTTCTCCATCTCCATGCTTCTAGAAATTTATGATTACAGTTATTTAGTTATATACAAACTCTGCAAAATACCAAAGCTAGAATAACTTACTGGTGTTGTGAAATTAAGGTTTACAAATACAAAAAACAAAATTCTATGATTCTGAGATTCTAAATACAAGAAGTGACTCCACTCTGATCAGAAGTGTCTATTAATTGTGTTTATTTCTTAAGTTTCTGAATTCTCATTACACTAGTCCCTCCAGAAAGAAAATCAGATCTCAGACCCTCATAATTATTCCAAACAGAAATTCCTGATAATGTGATTGGTACATCAGACCTTGATAAAGGCAAATAGAAAGTTACTCAGAATTAGTTAAATGATTGGTAACATAGTCCTTACCTCAACTATTAAGCAAATTAGGTGTTAGATTGATACCTGGCAATTAATTCAGTCTTCAGCAATTAATTCAGAGCTTTCAGGAAAGTTCTATCTAGGGAAGGTTGTCTTTACTACAGAAGCAGGATGTCTGGAGCCCAAGTGCAGAGTCTCAGTGTTCCACAAGCCTTGAAGAGGTACACTGTATGTGCTGGAGTTGATAATACAGACACTAGAGCAAGGCTAGTGTGATATTAGAAGCTTGATCAGCAGCTAATCTTTTGTAAATAAATACATTTTCTTGACAAAAAAGGGATCTGGTTAACTTAGGACATGACCTTTAGGCTGAAGAGCAACTCCCAGAGGAATCACAGAACCACTAAAGACGGTTTGCAAGAACCCCATATCAAAACAGCTCATCTGTAATCAATTTTTAGTCTGTACAGCAGTTATTGGAACAGGCGCACACTTCCTGAAATTGCAGGAATGTTCCCAAGTAGAATGTACATAACCTGTGTGCTCTAGCTCTTATACGTGCATGCTAGGAGCAGTGATCCCCCATGTACCCAGTGCTGCAATAAAAACATGTTGACTTTCTAACCTGCTGACCACCAGACCAGGCTGCCCAGAGCCACATCAGCCTGGCCTTGAATGCCTCCAGGGATGGGGCATTCACAACATCCTTGGGCAACCTTACAGTGCCTCACCAGCCTCTGGGTGAAAAATTTCCTTCTAATATCTAACCTAAACCTCCCCTGTCTCAGTTTAAAACCATTCCCCACTTGTCCCATCACTGTCCACCCTCCAAAACAGAACACCTAAGCTGTTCAACAGTGAAAGAGCAAAATAACTGATAGCTCTTACCATTGTAGGCATTTAATTCCAAAGTTAAGATCACTGTGTTAATGGAGCAAATAATGACTTTAATCCAGTGTATAATCAATGAAAATTATATAAAGGAATATTATTTAATTTAATAATATTAAGACATTATAATAATGAAATAAGCAAGAGAGTTAGGCACAGCAAGACAAAGAGAATAAATAGGAGGCTTACCCATGTCGTGGGCTTGCTCAGGAAACTCCAATGGAGTGGATCTTCCAAAGAGAGAGAGATCTTTCCCTACTGGTAGTCAGCTCTTACGTGGGTCTAGGAGAGGTGCAGCTAGGCTCCACCCCTTCCTGCAGCACAGGTGAATTGCTTTCACCTGTGCTCCCAGGGCTGACTCATTGCTCGCCTCAGGTGACTAATCAGAGGTTCAGGCCGTGACTCAGCAGTTCCCATACATCCAGGTTGCATTATCCTCATAAGAATTTTCAAGTTCTTCATAACAACTAAAGTGACAATATAATATCAGAATTCACTTGAATTATACCATTATTCAATGGTGTGATTAAGGCAGAAAACAGTAATGACAAAAAGGCTCCCAGCACTCACTAGCTTTGCTATGGTATCACCCCACATATTTCCATGATCAAATTTGCATTTCTGATGACTATAGAAAACATAAATGCAGAAAATCCTTTGGTTTTGTTTGGTTCTAGATCTAGGAGCACTAGCTAGCAAAAGAGTGCACTGAATAATTAGCTAGATTAAATGAACTGCAGTATATTTGCAATGTTTATTCTGGAATTCTGGAATATTGCAGGACTTGATGACAGATTTTTTGCATCCTATGAGGAGATATTAGAGCATTTACATTCTGATTAGGTCTACTACTTTTTTTTTTTTTTTTCCCTTTCTGGTAGTATTCCAGAGTTGTGCAGACTGGAGGAGAGGCCCAAAATGACAAACATGCTGAAACCTGAGTGTTTCTTCAGTCTG